CATAGGGGTATCTGAAAAATCAGAATATACTCAATTTGTACCACCCCGCCTGCCATGAGGATTCAGATGCAATTTGTGATTGAAGTCTGAACATTTCTGAATATGCAATGTGACTAGTGGAGCAAAAATAATGCCTTGGTGACAAACATCCACTTTAAAAAAATGTGTATGGAAAACAAGCACTTCATTAAAAAGGTATAGAACACTTCAATAAATGGGGAAAATAATGTATGTTATTCAAAAAATGTCCAGAAGTAACATGTAGATTTGGAAAAATGCATATGCAAATATACAGACACTTCACAGGAAAAGAAAATGTTGAAAGCTCACAATCTGCCCTAATCAGAAAAAGCTTTAAGGGAGATTTAGGAGAATTCCTAATAATTCTACCTTAATAATTTGGACTTTAGTAATTCATCCATCCCTACTAGTAAGTCTTGTCAGAAGGCTGTTGCAAGGCAGAACATTTTTGCCAGCATGCCTGTCTGGATGGTAAAGGCAAAACCAGACATTTCAGAAAAGACTCTCCCCTCCACCTTCCCAACATTGGTAGGGTTTGGGGGGTCTGCTGAATTCAGGGCCGTGTAGGAATGCTTCCTTCTAGGTCCCAAGGGATGGTTGTCCAATGACCACAATGACCAAGAGTTAGAGGCACTGCTGGGTCTGAAATTCATACAGAGACTATGGGTTAAAGAAGGAAGGAACATCCAGAAGCGAGATAAGGCATTCTTAGACCTTCCTACTACAACTACAAGGTTCAAACCTGTGGAAAGGAGCACTAGTCTCCTACTCGCTGGTACAAGGCTTAATGGTTTCTCAACCCAGTGAGAATTCCATCATGTGGTCTATGCTGGCTAGGCCAGCGTAGGAGCAGGGTGGCAACTCATCTGGGACCCTGGGCTAAGGGAGACTTCCCCAGAAACTGAAGCAGTTATGGCAACAATCTCCTAATACTCCATTCCACTGGTGGGAGGAAATTAAAGAGCTAGCATGAGTTTTACACACACACACACACACACACACACACACACACACACACAGAGAGAGAGAGAGAGAGAGAGAGAGAGAGAGAGAGAGAGAGAGAGAGACACGGGACTGGGGAGGAATTTGTATATCTAGGCAGATTTCAGAGCAGTAAACAGTATAAACCTGAAGCAAAAGAGTAAAAACAATCCATTAAAAACAAGGACATGTTAGATCCATGGCTAGTCAGCAAGTACAGCTTCTCAGAAGAAGGATGTCTTCAACAGGTACTCAGAACAGCTCCATATTAGTGCCTGTCTGGCCTCCAGGGGCAAGGAATGCTGCAGAAATGGGCTCACCCAATGCAGATGCGTATCAGTTAAATAAACAAAAGTTGTTGTTTATTTGGAAACAAAGACATTTGTTCTTTTCTTTCATTGTTGGGATGTATGTTCAAAGGGCTCAAAGCATCTAGCAGGATTTGGCCCCACATTCTGGAATGCAAAGCTATTTTGAAAACAGCACAATTTTGCCTCGTTGTGGGTAGGGGCAGGGTGGAAGCAACTGACCCAATTCACAAAAGGCTAAGAGTTTCTAATCTTTAGTGTCTCTCCACACTAGTGCCTTAGGAAAGAAGGGGCCAGAGACACAACATGATGCATTGTTGTTGCTATAAAAGCGAGCTCCTTGCTTTGAGCATGTTTTCAAAGATAATCCATTTCTTTCTCTGGCTATTGAAGAAATGAGGAGCTCCTTTGTGAAAGCGGTTTTTCAAGGTAGCTGTCGCTTTTGTTTACTTAAGCACTTTTTATGCAAAGTCCCTGAAAAGCTTCTTTACAAACATGACTCCAAACAATATCGCTCAGAAGCTGAGAAACTGCTGGGAGCTGAAAGAAACTACGACTTTCAGTGCATGGACAATGTCATCATTTCCAAGCCCTTCTTGCAAATGGTCAGAACAATATTCATGTCCCTAGAAGATGTCCCTCTCTCTCTCCCTCTCTCTCCCCCCCTCCCTCTCTCTCTCCTTTCACTTGTTAGGGTTCCTGAAAAACTGTAACATCATGTTACATTTTCTGTTGCTACATTAAAATTTTAGAACCTTTTCATTAAGATTCCTAAATGGGGACAATATTCATTACATAGGTGTATTGGTAGATGGCACTGATCATAGAAACATAGAAACTGAGTGAGTCAGAAGGGGTCTCCCAGGCCATCTAGTCTGACCCCTGGCTCCAGCCGGCTCCTCTCACAACATGTCCACCGTGTGCATGTCTAGCCTATCCTTGAACACCCTCACCGGTGGGGCCCCAACCACCTCCCATGGAAGCCCATTCCACGCCCTCACGTCCTAAATGTCAGGAAGTACTTCCTGGCATCTAATTTGAGCCTTGGGGGTGTTTCCCTGAGCTTCACTCCATTGGAGTCCATCCTGCCCTCCTCTGCAGGGGAGAACAGGTCTCTACCCACCTCCATGTGACACCCCCTCACAGATACCATATCACAACTCTGTGTGCGTAGAATCAGGAGTTTCCTGTTTTATTCTGTTCTTGTTGGGGGGAAAAAGTTCTTTTTCGACTTCCTGAGTGGTGTGTCCTCTGAGACTTCCATAACACCACATCATACTGGTGCAGCCAGCATTGCTAAGCACTTGGGATACCATTGCTCCACCTGCAACAACCGTGCTCTTGGAGATGAGATTATTTTCTCCACATAGAGACTGTAGTGTCTCCTAGCTGATATTATGTATTCTCACGAATTCCAACTTCACTAGCAATGGAATTGAATCCCAATGGAATCCTCTTCATGGAATCCCCTCCCCTGATGTGACCGTACTTGGTTCCACTGTGGCGTTTTAAAGATGTACTTTGTTAAACTACCTCACGAAAGAATTTCAAAACAGCTACGCATGCATTTGGTTATTTACTGATTTATCTATTTGCAATGTGCATTGGTAACCTTGTGGGAGGGGGCAGGCAACACGTGTGCACAGAAAGGTCCAAAAGCCACCAGAAGCGCTACGTAGAACCATGATGGTATTTTGAAATGTGACCAGGAAATGCCAAAAGTCAAAATCCTAGGGGGAATTCTGGAAGCATCCCTAAGCACAGCACCAAGCCCTGAAAAGAGTCCAAATCCTGCCAGGTCTCCCCGCGTCCCATCAGCTCATATCCTGATCCCACCCTTGATACTAATCCCACCTTTGTCTTGGGTTTTGGTGCCTTCTCCAGCTCCTCCATATTGTCCTACCAACCATCTGCCTCATCATGAGTCCAAAATGCAAAACATTGTACTGAGGGACATTATGCTGTTTCAGAGAATTGCATCGTTTGCCATACAAAGCCTACTCAAAGCAGAAACGACAGGATGGATTCCCAGACCTTTGTTGTGAGCTAGGTGTCCCCTCCCGATTGAGGCAGGCACTTCAGCAAGTATTGGAGGAGTCCTCATTCCATACAGAAAACAACATATTTGCAAGCCTCGAAATGCATACACCAGGTGGAATGTTGACCCCTCGCTCTGCCCCACATTCATCCAAAGCTCTGCTTATGAGCCCTTCAGGGCCAGTCTCTGGAGGGAGGGGCACCATGAAAGCAGGTGCACTGAGCCTCTAATTGGTCTAGCTGGTGGGTGCATTGATGGGCCCTTGCGGCCACGTCTCCTGGGGTGTCAAGTCTTCCTCCCAAGAGCCCTTCCCCAGCCTGTTCCCCACCAGCTTCTTTCCCACCATCAGGAGTGGGAGGGGGCTCAGCGGCTGCCCTTGAAATGCTTTGATCCAGAGTTGGCTGGGGCTGCTCACTGGGAGAGTTTAGGCATCCAGAACCTCACTAGGCTCAACAACTCCAATATCAGAGTGAGAACTCTGAGCCACAGCTTGTTCAGCTATCCACTCCCTCTTCTCCAGGTCTAAGCCACCATTCCCACCAAAGCCCTCCATCTCTGGCGCACACCTGGGAATCTCATGCAACAACACACAGACAACCACCTTATTCTTATGCAGTGGTTTGCTGTGTGGTTTGTGCTTCACCCTGCAGTCTGCTCCCATTTTGATGCAAGTCCCCCCTGACGGCAGGCTGTGGTGGCATGGGGCAGGGAGGCAGATCTTCCTAGGGAACAGTGATGAAGCCATACCGCAACCCACAGCAGATGCATTGTTCAACATGCAGGGCAAGTCCCTCGCAGACCAAGCAAGACTATCGATGCCACCAAATGTCATGATTAGCCAGCTCATTGCTCAACATTTGCCCATTGGTGAGGGCTTACCTTAGAAGCCTGGACTGATGTATCACAAATTCAGCCCTAAGCTTGGAAGTGGTTGTGCGCTTTGGAATGCACACAGTAAACTAGTGCACAGAGCTCCTCCTAAATTTTCAGTGGAAGCATTCTCCTTTGCTGCTCCCCTCATCCTCATAATCACTGCCATCATTGCAGTCTCTGTGAGGAGTAAAGGAGGCCTCCAAAGGTCCAGCTTCATACTGGTGATCGGCAACAGTGAGTCAACATCCCTTGATGTCATCACACAGGCAGGCACATCCAAACAACCAATGAAAAGGGGAACACATGACAATGATGCATAACATCATGTCACATTGTACAAACTGCAGTGACTCCAAGATGCACCTTGATATTGCACATCCGCAAAAACACATCTACATGGAGTAAGACTTTCTGTCTTCTGAGGTCACAATGCCAACTTAGTTACTTTCTAAGTAAATAATGAATTTAGTGCCAGTTACCATCACTAATAGGGCTACACTCATGTTCCAACAGAAGCTGCCAAAGCCTCTTCATAGATGACATGTCATCTGAAAGTTCTCTCTCTTGCCCCTCATTCTAGAAATTTCATTAATCCAGAAGATTGCCACAATCCTCAGTAAACTGATAACAAACACATTATACAGATCAGAGTATCATCTCTCATATATGGTATAATAATAATATGATATAGTCATATTCCTTTCATCTAGCTCCTGTAACTCCATTCTGGCTGTTCATATATAAATGCCCCACTTCTAGATTTTGGGGGAGTATCTTACCTTTGCGGGAGAGATGCTTCCATGTCACCATCGGTTCTGGTCTCCCAAAGGCCAAGCACAAGAGGGTTACGCTGCTGCCTTCATTGACAGTGATGTCTGATGTGATGTTTATAATCTGAGGAGGAACTGCAAGAAGAAAGAGGGAGGAAATCAATACATGGAAACAGTCTTGGTTGACATGAGTGAGGCACTGTCTCCTCCCCTACTGGTCTGCACAGTCTGAGGAACCGATACAATCATTTCTTGCCCAGAACAGTACAGCCATTCAACACACAATCTGGGTTTCAAATCAGGTCAAAAGCAGAGCAAGTTGCTACTGTCCTTCACATACTCGCCCTTTCCCCTAACTTACTGAGGTGAGACAGTGGGGAGCAATCATGCTGTCCATTCTGCAACACACAGAAAGCAAATCAGATGCAGTTAGGGCTGGGTTTAGCCTCTAGATTGGTCCTCCTTCTGTATTTAGGATTCCATGGGGTAAGAGGTCTCAAAATGTGTGCCAAAGTATGTGGAACACACAGATACACATGGAATAGCTTGGACATTCAGAGCCCTTAGACACTGGAATTTTGAACTTGGCTTCCACTATCTCCAGTTTTAAGGCTGGGGCTCTGTTCACTTGGGTAGGGGCACATGGGCAGGGCCAGCTATCCTATTTTCCAGCCTGCAATGAAGGACAAGATGGTGTTCCCTCTTGTTCCATGTACAAAAGCCAACCAAACTGGTTGCCTTTAATCCTGGTGGTGAAGAAACAGCCTCCTTTGAACTGGAAGGCAGGAATGAAATTAGGGGAGTCCCCATGGCACGCAGGGACCCCAGCAACTCTTGGTGGCCCTTATCCCACCATCTGACACCTGAGGTGACTGCTTCACTCTGCCTGATCATGGGGAAGGATGCTCTGAAGGGAAATTTATAGTGTAGTACTGAAGGCCGTATAACTACTGAAGCCCAGGTAGCCCTTACCTTTAATCCTCAATGGACACAGCTTAGTTACAAACACCCAGGGCTGCTACACACCAGAAAATTAATAACTTGTCCATAGGGGCAAGAGTAGAGAAATAAGCGACAGCAGGCAAAGGCTACCCTCTGAGAAGTAGCTTGCTTATCTCTCTGCCAGTTAGCTGAAAAATACTCTTTTTCATCCCAGGCGAAACAAACCATAAACTAGAAATTAAAATACAGCTGCAATCCCAAGCTTGCTTAAATAAAGGTTAATTCCATCAAAATCGATAGGACTTGCTTTAGTGCAAATGTGTTAAGGGTAGGCAGGTGAATGTGAAATGTATTTGTGGTTCAGGTATCTTTGTGTGGAACAAGGTTCACCTGTGAGGAAGGCAGTTTTCTTCTTTTACCCCAGCCCTGACTGCTGCTAGGCAGCTTCAGTACAAGATATGAAAAAGGCATTGCAATTCAAACAATTCAGTAAGGACTTTTGTAGGAGGATTATTCAGGAATTACTCTGAATGTGCAGAGTAAAACCAGGGGGGAAAACAATCAAAAGGTTTGTTTTCCTCCTCTAATGTTCAAAGAAAAATAATGGATCCCCCAGCCTTTTTCTTCCAATTTCCCCACCCCAGTGTCTGAAAGCTTTTGTTTGTGCACCTGGATTAATAAAAATGGAGCAAGGAATAAAACGAATACCGTGGTTGGAGTCTATTATCAATCACCCAGTCAAGAAGAAGACGAGGATGAAACTTCTGAAAAGCATATTGCCAGTGTTTCATGGTGGCATGATGTTTCAAGGGGTTGGACCAGTTGGCCTTCTGGCCATTTCCAACTTTATCATTCTAGGATTCTATGAAATTGACTATTTTACTTTCTCTTGATCTTCAACCAGTGAGTTGCATCTCTTTGGCAAAGTGAATTTTAGGCATGGGATGCCCTATCTTGAGCAGCTTGTACAGGGGCAGCTAAATACATTTGATCTGATTCAATAAGCTTGCCTCATACATGAGCAACTGAGTGTATTTATAAAGATTTGGAATAATGAAGTACAGGATGCCACCAAGGCCTTTGCATTATTGTTGCATTTAATTATGCATGTTTTCATTCTATTGCAAGTTGTCTTGAGTCTTCTTTTCGAGAAAGTTATCTAAGAAAAATAATGATTTTAATAATACTAATACTAATAGTGTTTTATGGATCTTAGATTTGATTATGTATGGATGTTAAGCTATCTGATGGGCATCATTTCGGAAGGATGTTATGACAGCATTATATCAACGAAGCTTTTGTGTTTATATTTTCAGATATATATTGAAATGCTCATAGCTTTGTGTGTCTATGTATGTGAGTAAAATCTAAGAGAGCACAAATGGGCTTCTACGTGTACATGCAATTTAAAAAGGAATGGGGCTAAATAGGCTTGGCATGTTACTTTTATACTTTGCATGTAAGTATGAGTCAAACTTGCTCCTATCTGCAAAAGCCCACTTTTTTCATCTACAAAGCCCACCTTGGGTTGTTTCTTGGACTGAAAGTGTGTGACAAAGTATTAGAACCTATCTTTATCTTGATGACAGAGATTCAGTGTTATCATTCTAGAAAGGAGAATGTAGCTGTCAATGAAAATGTTTTGAAAAAGCTGAGTTACATTTCTCTCTTCCCTCTACCTTCTCTTCCCCAAGCGCACCCCAGTGATACACCTTTCCTTTTCAACTGGAGGACTCAAAATCATTTCAAAATATCTTAAATGCTCCGGGAAGAGGAAGGAAGAAAAAAGACTGTAGCTTTCAATCTGTTACTCTGCTCATGGCAAAATGATGTGCAGCAGATTTAGAGGACAGCTGATGCCTTGTGGAAAGCTGGAAAACAATCTATGAAGAGAAATGATTCAGCCTTTTTAAAATCTACATTTCCCCCTATATTTCTGTTCACTGGTTCTTTATTACAAAGGACACTGGTGCAAAAACATGTTCTTCAAGGATTCATCTGTGTCTCTGCTGTTTATTCCCCACCTGAATCATAATCTCTTGTTTGTGCCTTCACAGTTGGTTGCTATGGAAGTTATTATGTCCTTGGTATCTCACTTTCACATCACAATGGCCATAAAAGGGAGAAGAATCTTGTTCAAGGAGAAGGTGGGTCCCCTTTGGGCTCAAACTAAGGTCTGTCCTGGAACAGCAGCAAGAGCTTACTCCAAATGAACAAATGGTTTTGCAGTGTATATTTAAATGAAGGAGATTATCCAGGATTACAAGAACAGACATGGGAGATAAAGTCAGCCATCACCACAGGCAAGGTGAACAGCAAGCCAACTCTGACAGGGGAAGCAGACAAAAACCCTAGATACCGGGCACCTCCTGACAAGGAGGATTATAGAGTGGTTTTCAGGTGTGACCCACTTTTTAAACTTTTAAATTAAAATACGATTTGAACTTGGACTTTGTCAGAGAGTCTCACAACTTCATAGAACAGGAGTCCCCCAAATGTCGAGTGTACTCTTGCAATGGCTGCCATGGGGACAGGAGGACTTTCCCTTTCACACAATTGCGGCCATGCTTGCATGGCCAATCACAAAACATCTACTTTCCCAAAAAGAAACTTGTGAGATTAATGTAAATCTTCCTGGACAGGAACCTACATGTAAGACGGAGCTGCTGGGAGAGGCCAGAAATATGGTAGAGGCCAAGAGAGACTTTTTAGGTTCACATGGGCACTTATGGACACCACACTGGAAACCCAAAGAGCATAGGGAATGTCCCTTTTAATTCTGCATAAAATAGAACAACCCTTTAATCTGCCAGTCAAAGGAGGAGGCTGGAAGAGGAGAAACTTATGTGGCAAGGTAGCCCTGCAGAGGCATATTTCTTCTAAAAAATATCTTGTCAGTTTCCTCTTTCATATGCCCACCACTTTGTTTACCACACAAGATCTATAGTCCCTGTTTGTCATAGAAACTGTAAAGTTCCACTTCTAGGCTAGGAGAAGTTGTGAATGAAGAGGGTGAAACCATCAAGAATATTTACAAGAGAGGAATATGTCTCTGCAGGGTTATAGAGTAGACAGGTGGACTTGTGATTATGAGCACATACGCAAGATAATGTCTCAAAGTAATGCAAAAATGCAACATTGGTTTAGCAAAAGTCAACAGCCTCTCAATCTGTGCAAACTGCCACCATGAAAGAAAAGTCCATGGATTGGCCTGACTCACTACAGATCACATCAATCCCAGCAGGAGTGGGGTGGATAGCAGAATGAAATCCACAGGACCAAACTGGAAGGATTAGTCAAGTTTTTGCCCTTGAAATGGAATTCTTATACAACCCGATCTGTTTCAGATTAAAGAACCTGCAGCATCACCTTGTTTCTGTGTCACTTCGTGTCACTTCTCAAAAAAGATAGGTGTCCTCAATCCTTTCCATAGATTTCTTTTCATGCAATTTCATATTAAATTGTGGCAGTGAGCCCAATTCTTCATGCATTTCTATACACAGTGGCCTGAATTCAGATTTCACCCCAGGAATTTGCAAGTACACACTATTTTGCTCTGCTGAAAACTGGAACTGAATGACAGGAAATGCTTCAGCTGCTTCCCTGAACTCTTGTATATTTCTTCAACCAAATCAGTTAAGTCTACTGTTTAGCCTTCAATGACAATATACAGCACAGGATGTGTGGAAACCTTGTCAACCAGGACAGTCCAGTGTGGCTACACATGGAGGATTGGGTGACCCCCAGGAGAAAGCAAAGTGGATGTCATTGAAGATGGGGAGGGAAAGAGGCTGCCGATCGCACACCAGGGTGGCTCTTACGGCTTCTTCAGCCTTCCCCATCTCCTCTTCCTGCCCTTTGCTGATACAGCTTTGGTAACCGGTGAGTCCACCTGGACATCATTTCCCAGAAAGTCTAAAATGCGGTGAAGGGCGAGAGTGCTGGGGTTCAAACCAGCAACATGATTGTGGATTGTTCCTTTGGGTTTGACATGACATGTGGTAGGATGCCTTCATAGGGTAGTTGACCCACTGCCCAGCCAGCACTCCATGCTTCACAGAGCTCTATCAGCTAGAGAATCCCTCTCACACTACAGGGAAGAGATGGTCTTTTATTGCTGCACACTCACCCCTTTCCTGTTTGAGTTCATCTGAAAGGGGAGAATAATACAGAGGCCTTATAGTGCAACCAGT